TTACTGTTACAATGTTACCAACGGGAGTCGTGCAGTAACCACACCGGTAGTTACTGTTACAATGTTACCAACGGGAGTCGTGCAGTAACCACACCGGTAGTTACTGTTACAATGTTACCAACGGGAGTCGTGCAGTAACCACACCTGTAGTTACTGTTACAATGTTACCAACGGGAGTCGTGCAGTAACCACACCTGTAGTTACTGTTACAATGTTACCAACGGGAGTCGTGCAGTAACCACACCGGTAGTTACTGTTACAATGTTACCAACGGGAGTCGTGCAGTAACCACACCTGTAGTTACTGTTACAATGTTACCAACGGGAGTCGTGCAGTAACACCCGGTATGTTACTGTTACAACCTGATACCCGCACGGGACCAGTAACCACACCGGTAGTTACTGTTACAATGTTACCAACGGGAGTCGTGCAGTAACCACACCGGTAGTTACTGTTACAATGTTACCAACGGGAGTCGTGCAGTAACCACACCGGTAGTTACTGTTACAATGTTACCAACGGGAGTCGTGCAGTAAACCACACCGGTAGTTACTGTTACAATGTTACCAACGGGAGTCATGTGCAGTAACCACACCGGTAGTTACTGTTTACAATGTTACCAACGGGAGTCGTGCAGTAACCAGCAGGTGTAGTGACAGGTGTGTACAGGTGTGGTGTTGCAGGTGTGTGCAGGTGTAGTGACAGGTGTAACAGGTGTAGTGACAGGTGTAGTGACAGGTGTAGTGACAGGGTGTTGCAGGTGTAGTGACAGGTGTACTGGTGTTGCAGGTGTAGTGACAGGTGTGTACTGGTGTGCAGGTGTAGTGACAGGTGTAGTGACAGGTGTAGTGACAGGTGTAGGGACAGGTGTAGTGACAGGTGTAGTGACAGGTGTAGTGACAGGTGTAGTGACAGGTGTAGTGACAGGTGTAGTGACAGGTGTAGTGACAGGTGTGTTGCAGGTGTAGTGACAGGTGTAGTGACAGGTGTTGCAGGTGTTAGTGACAGGTGTAGTGACAGGTGTAGTGACAGGTGTAGTGACAGGTGTAGTGACAGGTGTAGTACAGGTGTAGTGACAGGTGTAGTGACAGGTGTGTAGGGACAGGTGTAGTGACAGGTGTAGTGACAGGTGTGTAACAGTGACAGGTGTAGTGACAGGTGTGGGACAGGTGTAGTGACAGGTGTAGTGACAGGTGTAGTGACAGGTGTAGTGACAGGTGTAGTGACAGGGTGTAGTGACAGGTGTAGTGACAGGTGTAGTGACAGGTGTAGTGACAGGTGTAGTGACAGGTGTAGTGACAGGTGTAGAAACAGGTGTAGTGACAGGTGTAGTGACAGGTGTAGTGACAGGTGTAGTGACAGGTGTAGTGACAGGTGTAGTGACAGGTGTAGTGACAGGTGTAGTACAGGTGTTGCAGGTGTAGTGACAGGTGTAGGTACAGGTGTTGCAGGTGTAGTGACAGGTGTAGAAACAGGTGTAGTGACAGGTGTAGTGACAGGTTTAGGGACAGGTGTAGTGACAGGTGTAGTGACAGGTGTAGAAACAGGTGTAGTGACAGGTGTGTACTGGTGTTGCAGGTGTAGTGACAGGTGTAGTGACAGGTGTAGTGACAGGTGTAGTGACAGGTGTAGTGACAGGTGTAGTGACAGGTGTAGTGACAGGTGTAGTGACAGGTGTAGTGACAGGTGTAGGTGACAGGTGTAGTGACAGGTGTGTGGACAGGTGTAGTGACAGGTGTAGTGACACAGTGACAGGTGTAGTGACAGGTGTAGTGACAGGTGTAGTGACAGGTGTAGTGACAGGTGTAGTGACAGGTGTAGTGACAGGTGTAGTGACAGGTGTAGTGACAGGTGTGGACAGGTGTAGTGACAGGTGTAGTGACAGGTGTGTACTGGTGACAGGTGTAGTGACAGGTGTAGTGACAGGTGTAGTGACAGGTGTGTACAGGTGTTGACAGGTGTAGTGACAGTGTGTAGTGACAGGTGTAGTGACAGGTGTAGTGACAGGTGTAGTGACAGGTGTACTGGTGTTGCAGGTGTAGTGACAGTGACAGGTGTAGTGACAGGTGTAGTGACAGGTGTGTACAGGTGTAGTGACAGGTGTAGTGACAGGTGTAGTGACAGGTGTAGTGACAGGTGTAGTGACAGGTGTAGTGACAGGTGTAGTGACAGGTGTAGTGACAGGTGTAGTGACAGGTGTAGTGACAGGTGTAGTGACAGGTGTGTGACAGGTGTGACAGGTGTAGTGACAGGTGTAGTGACAGGTGTAGTGACAGGTGTAGTGACAGGTGTAGTGACAGGTGTGTGACTGGTTTGTGACAGGTGTAGTGACAGGTACTAGTTGACAGGTGTAGTGACAGGTGTGTGACAGGTGTTGACAGGTGTAGTGACAGGTGTGTGTACAGGTGTAGTGACAGGTGTAGTGACAGGTGTAGTGACAGGTGTAGTGACAGGTGTAGTGACAGGTGTAGTGACAGGTGTAGTGACAGGTGTAGTGACAGGTGTAGTGTTGCAGGTAGTAGGTGTGACAGGTGTAGTGACAGGTGTAGTGACAGGTGTTGCAGGTGTAGTGACAGGTGTAGTGACAGGTGTTGTGACAGGTGTAGTGACAGGTGTGTACTGGAGTGACAGATGTAGTGACAGGTGTAGTGACAGGTTTAGTGACAGGTGTAGTGACAGGTGTAGTGACAGGTGTAGTGACAGGTGTAGTGACAGGTGTAGTGACAGGTGTAGTGACAGGTGTAGTGACAGGTGTAGTGACAGGTGTAGTGACAGATGTAGTGACAGGTGTAGTGACAGGTGTAGTGACAGGTGTGACAGGTGTAGTGACAGGTGTACTGGTGTTGCAGGTGTAGTGACAGGTGTACAGGTGACAGGTGTAGTGACAGGTGTAGTGACAGGTGTAGTGACAGGTGTAGTGACAGGTGGAGTGACAGGTGTAGTGACAGGTGTAGTGACAGGTGTAGTGACAGGTGTAGTGACAGGTGAAGTGACAGGTGTAGTGACAGGTGTAGTGACAGGTGTAGTGACAGGTGTAGGGACAGGTGTTGACAGGTGTAGTGACAGGTGTAGTGACAGGTGTAGTGACAGGTGTAGTGACAGGTGTTGACAGGTGTAGTGACAGGTGTGTAGTGTTGCAGGTGTAGTGACAGGTGTAGGGACAGGTGTTGACAGGTGTAGTGACAGGTGTAGTGACAGGTGTAGTGACAGGTGTAGTGACAGGTGTGTGACAGGTGTTGACAGGTGTAGTGACAGGTGTAGTGACAGGTGTAGTGACAGGTGTAGTGACAGGTGTAGTGACAGGTGTAGTGACAGGTGTAGTGACAGGTGTAGTTGCAGGTGTAGTGACAGGTGTAGTGACAGGTGTAGGTGTAGTGACAGGTGTAGTGACAGGTGTAGTGACAGGTGTAGTGTGTAGTGACAGGTGTAGTGACAGGTGTAGTGACAGGTGTAGTGACAGGTGTAGTGACAGGTGTAGTGACAGGTGTATTGACAGGTGTAGTGACAGGTGTAGTGACTGGTGTTGACATAGGGTGGTGTAGTGACAGGTGTAGTACTGGTTGTTGCAGGTGTAGTGACATGTGTACTGGTGTTGCAGGTCCCAAGTACTTACACACTACTGGTGTGAACAGATGCATGTTATGGCCGGCGCCACAACCACGGCTACTGATTTATACAACAAAGGGTTGTTTCAAGCGTAGGCCAGACACTCATGTACGAGTTTTGGGAGTATGTGTGTGTATATATATATATATATTGTCTAAATTTAGTTTATTATTATTTTTTGGGAGGAGGGGGGAGGGAGGGAATTGTCAGGGGAAAGCACCAAGCCATTACGATTATATAGCACTGGGAAGGGGTCTGGATAAGGATTAGGGGTGGGACGGGGGGTGGAATGGTGCCCAGCCACTTGGACGGTCGGGGATTGAACGCCGACCTGCATGAAACGAGACCGTCACTCTACCGTCCACCCCAAGTAGTTGGACGGAAATCCACATTTCTGGTCTAATTGCTTGGTTCATGATACTTGATTGATGGGGTTCTGGGAGTTCTTCTACTCCCCAAGCCCGGCCTGAGGCCAGGTTTGACTTGTGAGAGTTTGGTCCACCAGGCTGTTGCTTGGAGCGGCCCGCAGGCCCACATACCCACCACAGCCCGGTTGGTCCGGCACTCCTTGGAGGAAACATTCTAGTTTTCTCCTGAAGATGTCCACGGTTATTCCTGTAATATTTCTGATGCTCGCTGGTAGGACGTTGAACAACCGCGGACCTCTGATGTTCATACAGTGTTGTTTATACATCAGATATGACCTCTATGGTGAGACTGGCAAGAGATACGTATCTTGAGGTTATCTTGAGATGATTTCGGGGTTAGTGTCCCCGCGGCCCGGTCCTCGACCAGGCCTCCACCCCCAGAAAGCAGCCCGTGACAGCAGACTAACTCCCAGGTACCTATTTAGTGCTAGGTAACAGGGGCATCAGGATGAAAGCAACTCTGCCCATTGTTTCTCGCCGGCGCGGGATCGAACCCGGGACCACAGGATAACGCGTCCAGTGTTCTGTCCGCTCAGCCACCGGCTCCCTCCCTCCCTGGAACACCTGTCACAGTCGCTGGAACACCCGTCACAGTCGCTGGAACACCCGTCACAGTCGCTGGAACACCCGTCACAGTCGCTGGAACACCCGTCACAGTCGCCTGGAACACCCGTCACAGTCGCTGGAACACCCGTCACAGTCACTGGAACACCCGTCACAGTCGCTGGAACACCCGTCACAGTCACTGGAACACCCGTCACAGTCACTGGAACACCTGTCACAGTCGCTGGAACACCATCACTGTCGCTGGAACACCCGTCACAGTCACTGGAACACCCGTCACAGTCACTGGAACACCGTCACAGTCACTGGAACACCCGTCACAGTCACTGGAACACCTGTCACAGTCGCTGGAACACCCGTCACAGTCGCTGGAACACCCGTCACAGTCGCCTGGAACACCCGTCACAGTCGCTGGAACACCATCACAGTCGCTGGAACACCGTCACTGTCGCTGGAACACCCGTCACAGTCGTTGGAACACCCGTCACAGTCACTGGAACACCCGTCACAGTCGCTGGAACACCCGTCACAGTCGTTGAAACACCCGTCACAGTCGTTAAAACACCCGTCACAGTCGTTGAAACACCCATCACAGTCGTTGAAACACCCGTCACAGTCGTTGAAACACCCGTCACAGTCGTTGAAACACCCGTCACAGTCGTTGAAACACCCGTCACAGTCGCTGGAACACCCGTCACAATCACTGGAACACCCGTCATAGTTGCTGGAACACCCGTCACAGTCGCTGGAACACCCGTCACAGTCGCTGGAACACCCATCATAGTTGCTGGAACACCCGTCACAGTCGCTGGAACACCCGTCACAATCACTGGAACACCCGTCACAGTTGCTGAAACACCCGTCACAGTCGCTGGAACACCCGTCACAGTCGCTGGAACACCCGTCACAGTCGCTGGAACACCCGTCACAGTCGCTGGAACACCCGTCACAGTCGCCTGTAAGCGGATTGCGCTCGTTCTAGCGTGCCGGGCAAGTGTGGGATATTCACATGGTGGCCCGTCACACAGGCGCCCCCTGGCCGCCGCCTGCGTCGCTAGCTGTCGTCTGAAACAATTTATATCGTGCTTGCGGAGGCTTTTTGGGAATCACGCAGCGATTAAATCACGAATTTCTTTCACGAATCACGAAGTTATTTGTGAATCAGGAGCTTAGCGGGACGGCGAGTGGGGGAGAGGTGGCCAGGGTACCCTGCCCGCCGGGCGTCTGGGCGCTTACACGCCCGCCCACCACCAGGCTCATGTACGCCGTCCACTACCGTCCACTGTGACTGCCACCAGCCGCCCACTGAGACAGCCACCAGCCGCCCACTTAGACAGCCACCAGCCGCCCACTTAGACAGCCACCAGCCGCCCACTGAGACAGCCACCAGCCGCCCACTGAGACAGCCACCAGCCGCCCACTGAGACAGCCACCAGCCGCCCACTGAGACAGCCACCAGCCGCCCACTGAGACAGCCACCAGCCGCCCACTGAGACAGCCACCAGCCGCCCACTGAGACAGCCACCAACCGCCCACTGAGACAGCCACCAGCCGCCCACTGAGACAGCCACCAGCCGCCCACTGAGACAGCCACCAGCCGCCCACTGAGACAGCCACCAGCCGCCCACTGAGACAGCCACCAGCCGCCCACTGAGACAGCCACCAGCCGCCCATCAGCCACCACCAACCTTACAGGGCCCAGAGCTGCAGTAGCCTGTCCATAGTCGTGTTGAGAATTTACGGGTCAGAAGACCCCCGTCCAGGCTGGCCGCCTTCAAGAGCACATATATTGTGCTTAGAGTCCATATTAGCACATATGGGGAGACTTATCGTGCAGAGACTCTCAAGAGTGGTGTGTGACGACACAAGGTCAGTACTAGTGGTACTGGCTCATGTAGTCCCCCTGCTGCCACACTTTACAACCAGTTAAGCCAGTGTGGTTGTTGGTAAGGGTAAACCTATACAAGCTTGGACCATACATGGCTTAGTATACATGCTCGCTCTATCATCAAGTGAAGCCACTTAACAGGAAGAACTAATAGATGTAAGTACTAAGCTGCTTGTACAAAATACACTTTGCTTTACAAATATTTAACTTATTCAACTTTTGTTAAGGCATAATTAAAGGCCTTAACATACTGAAACGTTAATCTTCGAGTCTTAATATTAATAATAATGATAAACTTGAACAACTAATTGTGTGGGATTTTTTTTTAATTTCCTAGTTAACAATTTGTGAGAAGTCCGTGTGTAACTTTGCTAATTTTCTCGCAGCCGGAATACTGAGTTGTCTGTAGAATATATATTTATTTAAGAATGGAAAAATATGGTGAAAGGTTTGGAAAAACATATACATATATATATATATATATATCGGCGGCCTTGGTGTCCGCACAGCCTCCCAAATTGCTCTACCAGCCTTCCTTTCCTCCTCTCATGCATCGCACGACCTCGTCAGAGATATTTTACCTGCAACCCTGAGAGATTCAGCAGGAATACACGATCCTGCTTTCACTGAATGTTCAAATCAGTGGAATGTTCTTGCAGCCCCAGCAACCATTATAGAGCCAACAAAACAACACAAACAGTCCGGCTGGGACCACCCTCTAGTGGAAAAAGTAGCTGATGCCATGCTCAGCGTCGCAACATCAGACAAGGAGAAAGCCCGCCTCAGAGCAGTGCGTGCCCCCCATGCAGGAGACTTCCTCCTGGCAGTACCCATGTCTGCAATGGGCACGCGCCTAGATCCAGAATCCCTTCGTGTAGCAGTGGCCCTCCTCCTTGGTGCCCCAATTCACACTGAATACAAGTGTATTTGCAACAGGGTGGAAGCAGACCAATACGGACTGCATGGGTTGCATTGCGGAAGCACAAAGGGCTGGCATGCAAGACACAACGAGGTCAATGACATCATCAAGAGAAGCCTCGTCTCAGCTGGGTGCCCAGCGGAGAGAGAACCTCGCATTCTAGGGGTCCAAAACCCGGATTTCCCCGCACTTCGCCCTGATGGCATCACCATATACTCATGGAAGGAGGGTAGACAGTTGGTGTGGGACTACACATGTGTATCCACCCTGGCTGACACCTATGTACACTTCGGAGCTGATCAAGCAGGTGGGGCGGCCAACCACAGGGAAACAGCAAAATCACTCAAGTACAGGCGACTGGAAGGTCAATACCTCTTTGTTCCCATAGCGTCTGAGACGCATGGCCCCTGGGGCAAGAGTGCCTTGGGATTTCTCAAGGAATTGGGGTCCAAGCTCATTGACGTCACCAGAGACCCAAGGGCTTCCAGTTTTTTATTTCAGCGTCTCAGTGTGGCGATCCAGAGGGGAAATGCTTGCTGCGTCCTCGGTTCCTGTCCAGAAGCGGAGGAGCTTCAAGAGATCCATAACCTTTAGGCATTTGTCTTGTATGTTTTGTAACCTTTAAATACACAATAAAGGCAAAAAAAAAAGGGAAGGGGGTGGTAGGAGAAAAGCACACAGAAACTGTATTGGAGGGGACCCACATTCCCTCCAATGCGTTATGTGTGGTTTCCTCCGAGGCTATGGGTCCCCCTTCTTCCAGCCAGAGGTGGTACTCCCTTCCCTATTATATATATATATAATATATATATATATATATATATATATATATATATATATATATATATATATATATATATATATATATAATATATATATAATATATATATATATATATATATATATATATATATATATATATATATTATATATATGTCGTATAATATATATATAATATATACTTATAATATATATAGGCCCAATATATATATATAAGCCAATATATGAATATTATATATCGGTTATATATATATATATATATATATATATATATATATATATATATATATATATATATATATATATATATATGTCGTACCAAGTAGCCAGAACGCACTTCTCAGCCTACTATGCAAGGCCCGATTTGCCTAATAAGCCAAGTTTTCATGAATTAATTGTTTTTCGACTACCTAACCTAACCTAACCTAACTTTTTCGGCTACCTAACCTAACCTAACCTATAGAGATAGGTTAGGTTAGGTTAGGTAGGGTTGGTTAGGTTCGGTCATATATCTACGTTAATTTTAACTCCAATAAAAAAAATGACCTCATACATAATGAAATGGGTAGCTTTATCATTTCATAAGAAAAAAATTAGAGAAAATATATTAATTCAGGAAAACTTGGCTTATTAGGCAAATCGGGCCTTGCATAGTAGGCTGAGAAGTGCGTTCTGGCTACTAGGTACGACATATATATATATATATATATATATGTCGTACCTAGTAGCCAGAACGCACTTCTCAGCCTACTATGCAAGGCCCAATTTGCCTAATAAGCCAATTTTTCATGAATTAATTGTTTTTCGACTACCTAACCTACCTAACCTAACCTAACCTAGCTTTCTCGGCTACCTAACCTAACCTAACCTATAAAGATAGGTTAGGTTAGGTTAGGTAGGGTTGGTTAGGTTCGGTCATATATCTAAGTTAATTTTAACTCCAATAAAAAAAAATTGACCTCATGCATAATGAAATGGGTAGCTTTATCATTTCATAAGAAAAAAATTAGAGAAAATATATTAATTCAGGAAAACTTGGCTTATTAGGCAAATCGGGCCTTGCATAGTAGGCTGAGAAGTGCGTTCTGGCTACTAGGTACGACATATATATATATATATATATATATATATATATATATATATATATATATATATATATATATATATATATATATATATATATATATATATATATATATATATATATATATATATATATATATATATATATATATATATATATATATATATATATATATATATATATATATATATATATATATATTATTAATTACTACCGAAAAAGTAAGATTAATAATTCTAACACGAATTTTCTCGATATTTCTTATGTTTCTTTTCACTGTTCATGGTAATTGAAAAATCAATTCTCCAAAATTCATTTTTATTTCTAGTCTGACGCGACACTTGAACGCGTTTCGTAATAACTTATTACATTTTCAAAGACTTTAGTTTACACACACACACAACTATAACCTGCAAACACTAAACAGAGTTCTACTATGCTATAATTTAAACAGCTTCGATTTTATATACCTGCATTTGGGTGAGGTGATATGTTACAACAGTTTTGGATGAGGTGAAAACAAACTTTCAACACAAGACAGAACACGAAACAATGGGTATAATATTGGGTAAGTTAAAGGGAAGAATGGAAGTAACTGCAAAGGGCCTATTGGCCCATATTTCTTGATGCTTCTATATTGGTGCGGAGTCTTGAAGTGGGTAGAATATAGTTGTGCATTAATTGGCTGTTGATTGCTGGTGTTGACTTCTTAATGTGTAGTGCCTCGCAGATATCAAGCCGCCTGCTATCGCTGTATCTATCGATGATTTCTGTTTTTTTTGTTAAGACTTCTCTGGTGATGGTCTGGTTGTGGGAAGAGATTATATGTTCCTTAATGGAGCCCTGTTGCTTATGCATCGTTAATCGCCTGGAAAGAGATGTTGTTGTCTTGCCTATATACTGAATTCTTTGAGGCTTACAGTCCCCAAGTGGGCATTTGAAGGCATAGACGACATTGGTCTCTTTTAAAGCGTTCTGCTTTGTGTCTGGAGAGTTTCTCATGAGTAGGTTGGCCGTTTTTTTGGTTTTATAGTAAATCGTCAATTGTATCTTCTGATTTTTGTCTGTATGGATAACGTTTCTATTAACAATATCTTTCAGGACCCTTTACTTCGTTTTATGAGCTGTGGAAAAGAAGTTCCTGTAAAATAGTCTAATAGGGGGTACAGGTGTTGTGTTAGTTGTCTCTTCAGAAGTTGCATGGCGTTTCACCTTCCTTCTTATGATGTCTTGAAACCATTAGAGAATCGTTGTTGACTAGGACCTGCCTTACCCTACAGAGTTC